TTTGATGCCATGAACAGTTTTCGTTCTGCTGCTTCCAACATATAGTAATATATTTAAAAAGAAACTTTTCACATCAACAGTTTCAATTTGCTTTTAGCCCAAGCGGGTTCTTCTTCAAAAATTTACGCGATCATCACCTTAATATGATACGAACTTTGTACCACTTTATTTGGGATAAAAAAATCACGTTTTATCATTCCTCTTTTAGACATGCCCCTGGTCTTCTAGATTTAATTACAAATACTTTGGGCCCTATCAATATTCTGTTGGGACTTACAAGTTTTACACTTTTCTAAGAAAACAGATCTTGTGCAAACTGAGGAAGATCATCATCTACATGTCAGCCTAATTTGATGTTCAGAGGATCTTTAACAAAGATTTGGTGACTCTACTTCATTGTTCTTGAACATGCTGACCAATGGGTGTACTGCGTGTTTTTCACTTTTACTGCTGGATAAAGACATACTCAAGGATGGGCGCAATTTACAAAAACGAAGAGGGTTTAGATGCTTCATGATCGATGCGCAGAAGCAAGGAGGAAGAACAAAGGGTACATCTACGATGAATGCAGGGCAGACAAAAAGAGAGGCCGTTGTGCAGGCGAAACTCCTGTTTTTTGAAAACCATCAGAACCTCATGAGACCTTTATTCTTCGCTCTCAGCTGAGAAATATATATTAGTGTGCACAGGAAAGACCCCGAAATCTCCTGATGTATCTTAATGTACTTCCTTCTGAGGCCCTCCAACACGTGGGAAGTACGGGAGGCTACGAAGATGAGAATGGTGCGGTGCGGGACAGCAGAGATCAAATCATATCATTCTGCCCCTTGGCCTCTCCTAAATCTCATGTCTTCGCATTTCAAAACCAAGTATGCCTGTCGCATACGCGCCCCCAAAGCTCAAACTCTATTTTCAGCCATTAACTCAAAAGTACACAGCTATAAATCACATCTGCGAACCTAAGGCCCAATCCTTGTGCCCACCTATGGAGCCCTGTTAAAATCAAAAGCCTAAGTTAGTTCCTAGATACCATGGGTACATTGCCATTGAGTAATAGCAGGCCATTCCAAATGGAGAAAATTGGCCTAAAACAAGCGCCTGTGCCGCTCCCTCCCACAATCGCAATCCGAATGCAGGCAGGCAGGTCGAATCCTTTTATTAAAGCCTCCAAAATGAATCTCCTTTGAGCGCGCAGGTTTCTC